TCCCTTTCTTGATACTCCCTTTTTTAAAAATAAACCTTTATTTTATTATATTAATAAAAACAAAAGAAATAAACAGTGATAGGGGAAATGGTACCGTGTTCTCAGCTGTATGACACTTGTTGTTAACCCTGCTCCACTTTTTAAATGATTAATGCAACTTGCATTGCCATAGTCTACATGTAGTTCAAGACTAAGAGTTGAGTCAAATTCCTAATCTGTAACCCTTTGTTGATGCTCATTGCATAGTAGCCTTGTTGATTAGGCACAGTACCTCTTAAGAGAAATAAAACGTCGCCAGGAGGTTAAGGTCTCCAGTTATTCTTGGATTTCCACAGAGTTTGCCCAACTGAGGTAGCTCTGGAGAGTTTGTAGAGAGGAATAAGTCAAAGCATGACAGCTTTTCCTTCAATAATTTACTAAAAATTTAGATAAAAGGCAGATGTTCCCACAGTATAAACTGGGAAAAGGAATATTAGAACTCGAGCTAAGCCAGCCTTCCTTGGAATAAAGAACGTGACAAAATGAAGCGATGGGAGTTGCATTTGATGGACATAACTATTCATCCAAGCAATTACCCCAGCATAGTCAGGACAACAAGCAGATCTGAGCAGTCTTGTTTGTGCAAGAAAGTAACTGACGTAGGCTACATGAGAAGAGATGGATCCACACTGACTTGCTGGGGCTCTCCTTTATCTCTTTATCATCTGGTTTTAATCATTTTTTTGGTAAGCATTGGTTGTATTTCAGGAAACAGTGCAATAGTTTTTCCTTAATGCAAACTACTGTAAGATATTAAAAATGTTTTCAATGTTATGTTATTTGTCCCTAGGAAGGAACCTGGATAATGATATCCTTAAAGACCTCTTCATAGCAACTGTGACCAAAAGAGGGGGAAATAGTTGACGCCAGAAAAGTGCTTTTTAGCCCTTCATTTTTACCAGTGGATTATTAAAATATCCTGGACCTGTTTTTCTTTTTTTTAATAGTGGAGCTTTATAAAACTGTTGCTCACATATAGAATATTAAGCCTGAATTTATCCAGAATGAGGAATTAATTTTGAATAAAGTAAATATGTGTATGTCCTTGAAAGTCACTTCTCCAGTCTTTGTTCAGAGGTTCCATTTAAAAACAAAAAAACACATATTAGTTACGGCAGGGATGTCAAATTCAATTTCATTGAGGGCCGCATCAGCATTGCGGTTGCCCTAGGGGGGGGCTGGGTGGGTGTGGCCAGAGTGGGTGTGGCCTACTGGGTGGGCGTGAATGGAGTGGGTGTGGCCTACTGGGTGGGTGTGAATGGAGTGGGTGTGGCCTACTGGGTGGGCGTGGTTTCAGCAGGCAGCCGGATGCTCTCACAGCGCCGATAGGTTGAGTCGGGCGGTGCGAAGCTCGCCAACTTTGCACCTTGCTGCCTGCTGAAACTGGGCAGGCTGGAGGCTAGGCAGCATTGAATTTCTCTTCAGATTCGCGCCACCCAGCTCAGTTCTTGGCGCTGTGAGCAGAGCGCCCCGCTGCCTGCTGAAACTGGGCAGGCTGGGAGCTGGGCGGCCTCGCGTTTCTTTTTGGATTTGCGCCACCCGGCTCAGCCTCTCGGCGCTGTGAGGAGAGCACCCCGCTGCCTGCCGAAACCCCTCCCCCAGAGCCCATCAAGCCGGATGTATGAAGTAGGCGAGGGCCATTTGCTGGCCACTTCCAGGTGATGGTGCATTTCTTCATTCCTCACAAAGGGTGACACCTCCCCAGCATGCACCCAGGGGGTGGGGTTGACGCGGCAGGGGCTGGTTCCTCACTGTTTCCAGACGGCCTTGTGGAGCTAAGACTGAATGCGTTTCAGCATAGATGGCCACCACAAAATTGTACATTGGCTCCTGGCCAGCCTGGGCCAGGGCCAAGGCAGCGGGGGCCATTCCCTCACTGTTTCCAGAATGGCTTCGCGGGCCACATCCGGCCCCCAGGCCTTGTGTTTGACATGTCTGAGTTATGGGAATGTATTCTGCACCTCTTTTCCTTCCTGTAGTCTATGTTTGGTAAAGAGGTGCTAAGACTGGGCTCTTATAGTTAATTAAACCTTGACCAGAACTCTCCGATACAATTTTTTCCAACTTGGAGTTCTCCAGATGCATTCAGCTACTATACCCATAATTTTCAGCCAACCTGGCCAACAGATAATGGAGGTTGTTCAGGAGTAGATCGGGATAAAGATTACTCTAGAGGGAAGGGTACTCTAGAGCAGGGGTCCCCAACTCCCAGTCCATGGACTGGCACCTGTCCGTGGCATGACAGAAACCAGGCCGCGCAAACAAGCAAGTATCCTCAGGATACAGGCAGCATGCAAAACCATGCCCCCTCTGTTCCATGGAAAAGTATCTCTCCAAGGAACCGGTCCCAAAAGGTTGGGGGCTGCTGCTCTATGAATATTGAAAATTGTTTCTCTAGAGCAGGGGGTGTCCAACCTTGGCAACTTTAAGACCTGTGGAGTTAAACTCCCAGAATTCCTCAGCTGACATGAATTCCCAGTTCTGAGAGCTGAAGTCTACAAGTCTTAAAAGTTGCCAGGCTTGGATACCCCTGTAGTGAAACCACAGCTCAAATGTGAATAGATTTCTTTAGTTTTAATACACTTCTGTTTTTAAAGAATCGGGCTGCCTTATCAAACAAATGGGAATGACAGCTTTACTTTAAGGTATGTGTGTGAGCCGGTGGAGAGCATGACTGGTTCTTTAAAGAGAGAGAAAAATCTTGGCCAGTGATACCTTTCTCTCTGTCTCTCTCTATCTCTCTCCTCTACTCTTCTAATAGATCAGATTTCATATAAATCTTAATAAAGATTTTGATCTACTTTTCAACTATACCAGTTGTCTGATTTTCTCAGCCTCACTGAGAAAATCGTAATACTTTCGTAAGTATTTCAGTGGATACTTTGTAGTATAACCCTTTGTAGGTCTACTCAGAAGGAAGTCCCATTGGGTTCAATAGGATTTACTCTTAAATAAGTAGCTACACATAGATTATTATAATGGGTATTATGGCCTTCTGAAACTGCTTTTGAGGATTAAAAAAATACAAATACAGGCAGTCTTGAAATAATATTGCTCCTGAAAATAATCTTGCTTATTTTAGAAAATGATGGCAAGTGGAAGTGGCTGATTGACTTTGAGTGACCTTGAAAAGTTAAAATCAGACTTGTTCTTAAACTGAAATTCTAAACATTTAGTAAAGAGTAAGATCCATTGATATAATTGCAGTAAGATTACATAAGATCAGGTACCCAGTACTTCTAATCCAGAAACTTGAAATATTTCAAAACAAGGATGTTATTTTCCATTTTTTAGCATGGTAGGAAAATAATACATTTTGGTGCATTTGATAAGTAGGTTATTTCTTCAGTTTGACTTTTTTTTAAAAAAAAAAAATTGGATAACTGCTTTAATATGTTCTGCTATTTCTAGACAGCTTTAAATAATCTTGGTAATTTTTGTAATTCAGTCCATTATAAATGAACACACTACAGACTGAAATTAAACATTCAACAGTATATCTCAATAAGTAATAGATTATCAGAAAGGTTCTGAAATTTAAATATATTTGACTAAAAATATACGAGTGATGTTACAAGACAGTAGATATATTATTTTAATATATTTTGACGATTTCATTTACTGCATGGGCAGTTGACAAGAATTTTAATTTTTGTGGGGGGGGGGGTTTGTCTACGTATAAGGGGTTTTTTTCCCTCTTATTTTTTTTTAATTAAAAAAGGTTCTTTATCTGTATCTGTAAAGTGCTGTCCCTCCATGATTTGGGGAAAAAACCCTACTACTGTAATCATAGCATGCTTGTTTCTTCGTCCATCATTTCTTTCCTCTCAACCTCCACTCCACACCTTGTATAACCTGAAATACCTGCCCAGTTTATTTTTCCCACTTCAAGAATAAGCCA